CTAGCATAACAAATTCAAAAACACATGAATGCAATAAAGAATCCCCAAACTTCATTGGTATGATAGCTTGTTGAATCTTCAGAGGTTCCAGCGCATGTGTGAATTTCACCCGCTCCCGATGCTCCAAAACATGAAAGACGCGCTTCTATATTGCCAAATTAGGATTCTCTAATCAGAATTATCAAAAGCTCCTTAATTTTTATTTAAATCCCCTATCTATAGGTAATTAATCCATGACCTAATTGATTAAGAATGTTGGGCCTGGATTGGACCGGGTCAGCGAGTTTTAGCGCACTAAATTACCATAATTCTTCTGCTTGAGCGCGCTTTAACGCACTGTAGAGCACTTGAGCGCACTCTTCGAAAGAGAATTTTCTCATATGAGCACGCTTTAGCACGTTGTAGAGCGCTCTAGTGCGCTCGTACAGAGAGTTTTTGCCATTCTTGCTTTATAAGCGCGCTTTAAACCCTAAAGCGCGTTCTATCAGTCTTCAATTTGCCTGTGAATTGCTTCAAGTGGACTTCTTTTGATTTTCAATATCATCCTCAAGGTACTTTACTTCATTTGAGTACTATTTCATGTCAATTTATCTTCAAAACAAGTAAGATCATATTATGTTAGCTCAAAATTTAACTTTATGCTTTTTCACTACAAAACTTAAGTTTTCATGCAATTGACTATGTATTTCTTTTATTATTTAGCCCTAAAAATGATAAACTAAGGGTTTATCCCCGGTGTTTACCATAATTATACAATCATTATACCCAGAATGAGTTGGCCAAACTCATATTCAATATCTAAAAATGCATAATCAAGTTAGACGCTAGGAATCACCGAACAAACTTTATCAATTTCATTTCCTAAGTTTTTCCTTCAAAACTGCTTTGCTACCGTTAAATGTAACACCCTGTTGTACATCCGGTTCATTAACATTGCGTATGATATTAACCACAGTTACAATCACATTGTTTCAATTAAAAATACGGACAAACTTTTTCTTTTAAACATTGTTTATTTCCTTTTAAAAAATACCATTTTTAAATAGCCAAAGCCATAATTGTAACCAAGTAATGTTGCGGAATAACTAAAACATGCTTAAACGTATCATACTAATCCTAAGGGATACCACTATGAGGTTCCCAAGGGTCTCACACTTTTAATTTCATGTTTCTGAAAACTGGGCTGCCTGCTCGCTGACCTGCCCCCTCGAGCGAGCATGTCAGTAAACTCATCCTTTTTTTTTCCTCACTGCGCAGCTCGCTCTAGCGAGAAGTATAGCGAGCAATTGGGCACTCAGTTATCGTAGAGGCAGTAGTTAACATCTAGTTCCCCTGCCTCTCGCTTGCTCAAGTAAGATTAAGAGCGAGCAATGCTCTGCTTCGCAAAACCCACTCGCTGGTCAGCTCGCTCAAGCGAGCATGCCAGCGAGGGTTCCCTTGCTTCAAGGTTGGCCACTATCAACCAATTAATTAGCTTGCTGGACCCCTAGCTCAAGCGAGGTCTCCAACGAGCAAACCAAAAATCTCATAGGGTCCATTTGTTTCTTGAACAAACCAAGGGAACACTTCATTATTCTTTGGTACCTAATTGAAGCATGGAATGGCAACCACTAGCCCAACAAGCTAGGGTGTACTTACATCCCAACAATCCTCAAGAACTTAACACACTTCTTATCTTTACATGAATTCCATGATATGTGACTTTAACTTAATCTACATTACCATTGATAACATTGCATAATTCATTATCAATTGTCAATATGCAAAAGTAAAGTACATAGGCATTAGACTTTAAAACATGCAAAATAGGCATCCATGCACTTTCCTCATGAATGCATTAAGTCCAAGATTACAAAAGGTCCAATTATATCAATAACTCAATTATCTTGAACACGTAACCATGAAACTTAGCTACAAAATACTATGATCAAATCCTTGGCTCTCCCAACAATATGAGATATCAAGGAAAGTGAGCATAGGCTAAGTCCCCCAAAATACACCATAATATATCAATGAGCTTCAAATGTAATTCCTATACATGTTCAACTACATATACAATAAGATGCTCCCAAAATATATATATATACTCCTCATGCAATCTACTATGGCCTCCTGCCAATAAATGCTCCAGCACCGTCAGTACATGAAAGCCCCCCCCCCCCCAAAACGTGGGGTGAGATGGATATCTCTGTAAACTAGGGGTCCTTGGAGAATCTCTCCACCCCAAAGCTCACTTCAGGCATCAAGCAATAAACAACATAATCATGAATGTATGCATATTAAGTGTGCAAATATATGTCTAATAATCATGTTAGTGCCTCGCACCGTCCTCAGAATACAAACGACAGTGTCCTAGCAATTTCTCGTGGTAAACATACCTTAACAGGATGCTATAGACAAATAATCCTAAGGCAGAGAACAATATATAATTTACGCAACCGTGCAACATACTGTATGAATTATGCAACCGTGCAACTTTCTCGTGTAAGGATCCCTCTTACACCACACCACAAACATCACACATCATGCATTATATTCAATTCATTGCATAACTATATATAAAACCAAAACCCACCATCAGGCTTGGTGGAACAATAAGGGATCAATTCTCAATGTCCGAAATCTTACCTTTTAACGCTTCCAACTCAATGCTTGCTCCAAGCACACGAATTCCACTAACAAGGAATTCAATAAAAGCCCACAACAATAGCTTTACAAAAACCAACACCTACACCAAGGTGCAACTGTAATAAACTAATTGCTAACAATTGAATATATTCATATTCAACACAACATAGGCAATCCAATCCCAATGTCAAAAGTCATGACTTACCTATACTTGAATTCTATCAAGTACCCAAATCAAGCTTCATTGGCTCCTCCAATACTTGATCAATCACTTGTCCACTTGTTCCCGACCTAGAAACACACATTGACACATTCAATGTAAGTCAATCATCCTACATTACCAAAAATACAAGAATACAAGCCTAGGTCATATGGGATTTTTCTCAAAATTATGGAGATGACTCAAATGGTTTTCTAAACACATTTTTTCCGTTTAAATTTCATTGTTATCATATTTCAAAACATATACTAAGCCTCAATCATACTCCAACATAACCAATGTACCCACATTCCAACAAAATCCTGACTTTGCATTTTTACTTAAAATACAAGGAGGTTAGGAATGCTTACCAATAATCTCACTGCAATGACCCTAGGAGTGGTTATCAACCAACAAAGAGTCAATGCACCCCTCAAGCTCCTCAAACCTTAAGATTTTTGCCACTTTCCTTCAACATTTCTCCACTTACAAGCCTCTACAATGGATTCTAAGTCTAGGGTTGTGTTCTTCTTGAGATTCTAAGCAACTTTGCTTCCAATCCTAAGTGATTCCATTGAGTGCGGAGGGAATTAGATTTTTCAAGCTTTATTTTTCTTCCAACAATGGAACCTCTGTCTCTCCCCCTTTCTTTCCCCCCGAAATAGTCTCGATTATATCTAATTAACTCAAATTTCATGACTACTTGTTGGACTCCTTGCTCTCGCGAGCTCCACCAGCGAGCAAATTACACGCTCACTCGACAGCTTGCTCGAACGAGCCCTCCAACAAGGGTGGTTGAGAGGCCCGACAGGCATAAAAGCCCAATTTTCACTGACTCCAACTTAAGCCCACCTATTTCCTTCACAGTTACAACTCCACATTGATTGAACTAAGTTTTCCCACTTATTTTATCTACAACGTGATTAATCAATTAATATTTAATCTAAACTTTATATCAAGCCTCTCACTTAATTAATCTGATTATGCATGATTAAATAATTAATCTAATGCAATTAGGCCTTTTATAAATTAGGGTTATTATAATTTATGAATAAGAGAATAACTTATTTGAATTTTAGTGCTTATGTGTTTTGCTTATTAGATTTTTTTTAAATTTGAATTTATATGATATTATATATTTTTTAAATTATTCTTTATTATATTTTTGTATGTTACGATTTGATACAATGGGTTTCTATCAATATTACTTCTACCAATTAATTTTATCTTTAGATCGATTATGTTGATCCAATGATTATATTTATTTCCATCTTTGTTTGGTTTGATTTTTCGTATTTAATGTGAAAATATTAAATATGAAAAATTATAATCATACAAAGGTTATTAAATATAGAGAATTATAAGTATACAAATATGAAAATAAATATAACCGTTGAATTAACATAAATGATATAAAATTAACCAGTAGTAACATTGATAATAACCCTAATTAATTGTTACAATATTTTTTTTTATTTATAATATGTTTTTGTTTTTTCGTAACTTTTGTTCCAACATTATCCGAATAAATGTCAGTCGATAAGAGAAGGACAGTCCAAAATAGTAATTGGAGACCCTGGTTCTGATTTTTTTTTTTTTTTTAAATTATTGTTAGAATAATTAATTAAAGAGTTCGTTTTTCTACCGTCAATATAGATAATTTATCTACATTGACCCCAAAACGACGTTATTTTGAGGTAAAAATCAAGATATTTTTGTAATTATAATTTATTTCAGGATTATAATAGTTTTTTTATTATAATTTTTTAATTTTTCAACTCAAAATGATGTCGTTTTAGTAGCGAATGTAGATAACTTATCTACATTCACTTTAGAAACATTAAAGCCCTTAATTAAATGTGTTTTTTACATTTTTTATTTTAAAAAGTAAAAATCAAAAAAAAAAATAAAAATAACTCAAATATATTTTTTTAAATTTGATTCTAAAAATGAAAGATGTTATAAATTTTAAAGATTTTTTTTTTACAAATCTTATCAAACAAATGTTTTTAATTCTTTCTAAAATTTATAAAACTGTTTTCAGAAAACACATCTCAAAACATGGCCTTGATTTTGTTGTCCTCTTGTATCGTACTTATATATGATATAACCAGCAGCACTTTTCGAATCTAAAACGGCGATGAAGGAGCATCTCAGCACTCAATAAAAACAACTTTCCCTTCTTCACTCCGAAATTAAATAAATAAATAAATAAAAACAAAAACTAAACCCTGAAACACGCTCTTTTCGCGCCTCCTTCACTCACTCCTTCACCGGAACCCTAACCGAAATGCCAATGAGCTATTGCGTAACCCCTCTCCAGAATCTTCCACTGGTTTTCTTCTCCCATTCACCTTCAATTCGCTTTTCTTCCAAATCCTTTGCCGTCAATAATCCCGCTTCCACTACTACCTTCCGGCCATGGCTCACCCCGCTCGGAAAGTCACCGATTCGGTGTTGTCAGAGAGACCGCGACGTCTCAGCCTGCGCCGGAACCATCGCCATCCCCGCCGTCGAAAACGCCTCCAAAGTGGGTAAAAGAACCGACTTGAAGAAGATACTGATCCTGGGTGCCGGACCCATTGTGATAGGCCAAGCCTGCGAGTTCGATTACTCGGGAACTCAAGCTTGCAAGGCCCTGAAAGAAGAAGGGTACGAGGTTATTCTGATAAACTCGAACCCGGCGACGATAATGACGGATCCGGACTTGGCTGACAGGACTTACATAACGCCGATGACGCCGGAATTGGTGGAGCAGGTTCTAGAAGCGGAGCGCCCCGACGCTCTGCTTCCGACGATGGGTGGCCAGACGGCGTTGAACCTGGCGGTGGCTTTGGCGGAGAGCGGCGCTCTCGAGAAATACGGTGTGGAGCTGATTGGTGCAAAGCTTGAAGCTATAAAGAAGGCTGAGGATAGAGAGTTGTTTAAGGAGGCAATGAAGAATATTGGGATTAAAACTCCACCTTCTGGAGTTGGTACCACAATTGCTGAGTGTGTTCAAATAGCCAATGAGATTGAATTCCCTTTGATTGTTAGGCCAGCTTTCACTTTGGGTGGCACTGGTGGTGGGATTGCATATAATAGGGAAGACTTGGAGGAAATTTGCAAGGCTGGGCTTGCTGCTAGCTTGACTAATCAAGTGTTAATCGAAAAGTCTTTGTTGGGTTGGAAGGAGTATGAGCTTGAGGTTATGAGAGATTTGGCTGATAATGTGGTTATCATATGTTCCATTGAGAATATTGATCCCATGGGAGTTCATACTGGGGATTCCATCACTGTTGCTCCTGCGCAAACTTTGACGGATAAGGAGTATCAGAGACTTCGTGATTACTCAATTGCTATAATAAGAGAGATTGGGGTGGAATGTGGGGGTTCTAATGTGCAGTTTGCTGTCAATCCAAATGATGGTGAGGTGATGGTGATTGAGATGAACCCCAGGGTTTCGAGGTCTTCGGCTTTGGCATCAAAGGCAACTGGATTCCCTATAGCAAAAATGGCGGCCAAGTTGTCTGTTGGTTATTCCTTGGATCAAATCCCGAATGATATAACAAAAAAGACACCTGCTAGTTTTGAGCCCTCTATAGATTATGTGGTTACAAAGGTTAGATCATGCCATCATTTATTTTCTCCTTTGAATGGTTATAGGTTATAAGTCACTGCTCATGTCATTCCGATAATTGAGTTTATAATCTGATAAACTGACATTTATGCTATGGAGCAAGACATATCAATATTATCAGCGAGTCACTGTCAATATCTAATTTATTATATGTTTGCTAGTTTTTGTTCAAACCTGCTTTTTACCTTGTATTTACTTTTTCCATGACTATTCATGTTGCAGATTCCTCGGTTTGCTTTTGAAAAGTTTCCTGGTTCTAAGCCAATATTGACAACACAGATGAAGTCAGTTGGAGAGGCAATGGCAGTAGGGCGAACCTTCCAAGAGTCCTTTCAAAAAGCAGTACGTTCTTTAGAATATGGCTACTCTGGATGGGGTTGTGCAAAATTGAAGGAGTTGGACTATGACTGGGAGCAATTGAAGTATAGCCTCCGAGTTCCTAACCCGGATCGCATCCATGCTGTATATGCTGCAATGAAGAAAGGGATGCAAATTGATGACATTTATGAGCTGAGTTATATTGACAAGTGGTTTCTCACACAGCTCAAGGAGCTAGTTGATGTGGAAAATTTCTTGTTGTCTCATAATTTGTTTGATTTCACAAATGGCGATTTCTATGAGGTGAAGAGAAGAGGATTTAGCGATAAACAAATAGCATTTGCAACTAAATCCACTGAGAAAGAAGTTCGAGTTAGGCGACAATCTTTGGGTGTTACTCCAGCATATAAGCGAGTTGATACCTGTGCTGCAGAATTTGAAGCTAATACTCCTTACATGTACTCTTCTTATGATTTTGAGTGTGAATCGGCTCCCACTAAAAGAAAGAAGGTTTTAATTTTGGGTGGAGGACCAAATCGAATTGGTCAAGGGATTGAGTTTGACTATTGTTGTTGTCATGCGTCCTTTGCTCTTCAGGTTTGTTTTCTTCTTTTTGTATTTGTTGAGATATATAAAACCATTACTGTAGCCTCACCCAATAGCTTAAGCTTTTGGGTTGAATTGGTTCTTTACATGGTATCAGAGCCTCGTGTCCCGGGTTCGATCCTCGTCGCCCCCCACTTTCTTTCTAGTGGAATTTCTTTCTTCGCACAAGTAGATGGGCCTGTGCATTGTTCATCCTTCAAGCCCAGTGGGCTTTCGTGTGAAGGGGCGTGTTGAGATATATAAAACCATTAATGTAAGATTTGGCCAGCTAGGTTGTTTCTTGATTGTTGTGCAGTTGCTTCTTCATTTATTATATGTTGTTACCCTTGCCTATTGCATTTGCAGGAAGCAGGATATGAGACAATCATGGTGAATTCGAATCCTGAGACAGTCTCCACAGATTATGACACTAGTGATCGTCTATACTTTGAACCCTTGACCGTTGAAGATGTTTTGAACATTATTGATTTGGAAAGGCCTGATGGTATCATTGTACAGTTTGGAGGTCAAACACCATTGAAGTTATCTCTCCCCATACAACAATACCTAGATGAACACAAGCCAGTGTCTGCAAGTGGGGTTGGTCCTGTACGCATTTGGGGAACATCTCCTGATTCCATAGATATCGCTGAGGACAGAGAGAGGTTCAATGTGATGCTTCATGAACTTAAGATTGAACACCCAAAAGGAGGAATTGCTAGGAGTGAAACAGATGCACTTGCCATTGCAGCAGAAATTGGATATCCAGTTGTGGTTCGTCCTTCCTATGTTTTGGGTGGTCGTGCAATGGAGATTGTATATAGTGACGATAAACTTGTGACTTACCTTGAAAATGCTGTTGAGGTGGATCCAGAACGCCCTGTATTAGTTGACAAGTATTTATCTGATGCCTGTGAGATTGATGTTGATGCTCTGGCTGACTCATATGGCAATGTAGTCATTGGTGGGATAATGGAGCACATTGAACAGGCTGGGATACATTCCGGTGACTCTGCCTGCTCTATTCCCACGAGAACTGTTGCGTCTTCTTGCTTGGAGACAATCAGGTCATGGACTGAAAAAATGGCTAAACAACTGAATGTTTGTGGGCTCATGAATTGTCAGTATGCAATAACTCCATCGGGGGATGTATTTTTGCTCGAGGCCAACCCTCGAGCTTCTCGTACAGTCCCATTTGTATCAAAAGCAATTGGCCACCCATTGGCTAAATATGCTTCCCTTGTCATGTCTGGAAAGTCTCTTTCTGATATACAATTTACAAGAGAGGTTATTCCTAAGTATGTGTCAGTCAAAGAAGCAGTTCTTCCTTTTTCAAAGTTCCCAGGCTGTGATGTGTTTCTAAGTCCTGAGATGCGCAGTACTGGTGAGGTCATGGGTATTGACTCTATGTATAATATTGCATTTGCTAAGGCTCAAATTGCTGCCGGCCAAAAGTTACCACTTTCCGGTACTGTTTTCCTTAGCTTGAACGACTTAACCAAGCCTCACCTTGAGAAGATTGCGAAGGCTTTTACTGAGATTGGATTTCAGATTGTTGCTACTTCTGGAACAGCTAATGTTCTTAAATTAGCTAAAATCCCAGCAGAGCGAGTGCTGAAGTTGCATGAAGGGAGGCCTCATGCCGGTGACATGATAGCCAATGAAGACATTCAGCTGATGGTGGTAACCAGTTCAGATGATGCACTTGATCGGATAGATGGTCTTGCTCTGAGAAGGATGGCTTTGGATTACAAGGTCCCTATTGTGACGACAGTTAATGGAGCTCTGGCAACTGCTGAAGCAATAAAGAGCATGAAGTCCAACTCTATCAAAATGATTGCTCTTCAGGACTTCCACTGATGATGAATTTAGAAAGTGAGAATTTTTTTGCAGACAACCTCTTTCTCTGTGAATTGGTTATGTGATAGATACTAGTAAGCATCTATGTTTTTCTCTTTGTATTTGGTACCACTAATTCATACTCTTTTAAGTCTTTTTGGCTACCAAAACTTATCAATTCTCCCATCTTTTTATTTAAGATAAATTAGTAGTCATTAGACTGTATTTGGGATATTTGGCATATTTTTAGCTCATCATGATGCAGTGTATAGATAATTTCGGCTATATGTAGTCTTATACTTAAATAACTTAGCTAAAACACCTCCATTACATTTTGCAACAAGCAACTCTACAGAGAAATTAGAACTCACATGTTTTTTGTAAGATTGACTACACTGAGTCATTAATAACTATCTCAATGGTTATTTTTCTTTAGAATGAAAACTTCATACACTGTAGAACAAAATCTTCTATCATAGTGACAGTCGTTTTGTCTTGCTCCCCTTCATTACGCATATATCCACAGCTTTAACATCCTTGGTTTTGTATATTGACTGTGCTTAAACGTGGCCTGTTGCAGATTATTGTGAGCTTGTACAACTTGCTAGATTTGGGAGTGGCAGATTGGATGGGATACTTTCATTTGTAGAATAAAAGTGACCAAAAGAGATATCAAAGGTCATGTAGTCTGTGTCCTGACTCCTGATAAAGCACATGTCCTTCTGGGTAAGTTTTTGTCGTATGTTGGATTTCTACTATTTAATAATCATTTTTATGTTAAAAATCTTGCATCTCCTATTTGATGCTTCTGCTTAGCCATTTCATTTGTATGGCAATCCTAAATTAAAGACTGTGAGTATAATAATTATGTTAATTATCTGCTTGTCCTAAAAATTGTGAATGTTTGAAGTCAGTTATTTTATGGTGTAAACTTTCATCAACCTTGAAAGTTCCTTTGTAGAAAAAATAAATGCTCTGCCCAATAAATTGAGTATCATATAATAGTATAATCCAAGAGAAATACAGTTTGTGTATAAATTTACTTGTAGAGACATCACTTCCTCTGCACTATGAAGGTCGTACTATACAAGATTATTGCTGTTATATTTTAAAGGGTATTGGTTTTTGTTTTTAATTGATATATTTTTACTAATAATTACAAAAATGTTATCTTGTTTTTACTTTGATTAATCTTTGTGATTGTACATGTATTTCATCTTGAGTAGGGATTTTCAAAACTAAATCAATATAATTAAATTCGAAGGAACTGAGTTAAAAATTCAAAACAAATACATTCAGAAATAGAAAATAATAATAATTGAATTGTACTATTTTTTATATTCAATTTTTAAAATTAATCTACTTTAAACTTAATTGAATATATATATATATATATATATATATATATATATGAGATAATATTTTTTTATGAAATTTTTATATTACTAATTCTCATTTAAAGCATTCTTATTATGCCTCAAGTCATAGTTAGTTCTCTTTTTTGGGTTTATACATAATGACAGGGTTAACAATTAATTTGAGCTTATATTTAGTATTTAAATTTATATTTTGGTGTACTTGGATAAATTAGTTTAAAATTTTTATTGGTTGTATATGGAAATGAATTGGTTCGAATTTTGTATTTAATGTATTTCAATAAATTTGATTTTTCGTAATTTGATGAATTTGTATATTAAAAAAAATAAAAAACCAATCGAATACAAACCAAGTTATATAAAATCGAATTGAATCGAATATTTGAATATATATTTTAAACTAAAGTTATTAAACAACACCATAAATGAAATTGATTGGTCGACTATCGTTAAAAATGATCTAATTTAATTTGCAAATATCCGTAATTTCGAATATGCATCCATGAATTTGAACAGGTTTAAGGTTTGAGATTTTAAAGCCGAGATCATTGTTGCGGAGGGTAATCGGGCTGAAAGGGAAATGCAGAAATAAAAGGTTCAATTGATATCGTGTACATAACCTGAATAAAGTTAGCACTTGATTTGATAATTGAATAACATGTTTTTATTTAAAAAATAATAATTTTCTTATTTTAAAATAATAATAATAATGATGATGGTGTGCTTCTTACATCTCGTTCTCGTGAGGGAAAGAAAATTGTCAATAAAATCAATAACCAAAAAATAAAGCTTGACCATAATGGACAGGTCCATGTTATGGAGAGTGGAGGCATGTGCCCGTCCTTTTGAGTCTTTTAAAGTTAGTATATAATTTACCTCTTCCTGTAATGTTTTTTAAGTAAATGTGATGGCACTAACTCTTTTCATATAAAATTCACTAACTTTCGTCTCGTATAAGCGTTGGTCAAGCTATATTCCCAAATTTTCTACTCTTGCTTTCGTTACTCCCACTAGTCAAAATTTCTGAATCTGTCAATGCCGTCTATATTAATGATTCTATATTAAATTTCTCTAATTTACAAGATATCTGCGTTTTATATTAGAATTCTTTGACAAGGTGCAAATAAAAAAAACGAGTGATCGATTTCTAAATGAAAAAAGTTAACATTTTGTATCTAATAAACTAAGTTCTTCTCACGAGGGATTTCATACTTTTGGTTCTCTCTCCTCATGAACGTGGCAACCATTCTCACTTAAATGCAAGGTAGAGTTGATTACTGTTCAGCATGTATTGGAATATCATATTATCATCACAAACACAAGTATAGATTAAGCATGTTCGATTGAAAATCGAGGGGAGAAACTGACACATAAAAACGTCTCTAGGGCCAGGCTAGGTAAGAAGCATGCCGCTCCCCAATCAAATTAATCAATATCCTATGGGGAAAAGTCCTACGCATATGAGGTTTTAGCTAATATTATACGTGGCTTCTTTGTTTCCAAATAAATAAATAAATAATATATATATATATATATATATATATATATATATATATATATATATATATATGGAGCAGGATCATCTTACACCAGTGTAAGAATAATAAGTCTTACATCAAATCTTAACCATTGATTTTTTGTATCTAACGGTTAAGATTTATTAGGTCTCTCTCATTAATTAATTTTTAATTCTCAATAAATCTCAATCGTTAGATGCACAGAAATCAACGGTTAAGATTTGGTGTAAGATTTATTATTCTTACATCAGTGTAAGTTGATCCTATATATATATATATATATATATATATATATATATATATGAGTAAACACTCTTTTTAGTATCTGTCAATATCTACGAAGTCCTTTTAGTCCCTGGCAATAAAAAAGGACCAAATTAGCCCCTGAAATTACAAAAAAGGTTATGTTAGTCCTTATGTCAACTCTCAAATATGTAGAGTGACCCTTTTCTTGTACTTTCAGGGACCAATTTGGTCCTTTTTTATTGCTAGGGACTAAAAAGGACTTCATAGATATTACCAGGGACTAAAAAGGGTGTTTATTCTATATATATATATATATATATATATATATATATATATATATATATATTATATATGTGGCTTCCACACAAGTATTTTGTCAAATTTTAGTCACTAGAAGTCTAGAACTCACAGCGGTCCAAGTGCGGAACACACATGCATTTGGAGCTACTCGTCCTTATAGCTAAACGCGTGGGCCTAATTTAATGCTTCTAGAACACTAATTGTCTAATTTTTGGAAGCATAAGCTTAACTCTTTCTAATGTGACAACTTGCATTCATTATAAATTTACCATACAAGTTGTCACATTATAAATTTACCAAATTAATCAAATGATGATAGCTCAGTGGCGAACTTGCTTTGTTGTCGGTGTCTGCACGTGCACATATGAACTTTCAAATAATTTTTATTTTTTTTTACAAAAGGGATAATTAGGTAAAGCTTTTTTTGTGTCGTTAATAAAAAATACGGTTCCCACATTCGTCCCTTAAAAAAAATAGTCCTGAGGTCCTTAAGAAATTCAAAGTGGAACCATTTAGTTGAAATCGTGGTCCCTCACAAATTCATAAAGATCGACTTTAAATTTTATAAAGACCACGATACTAATTTTTTTTATTAAAGACTAAAGTGGAGACCGTATTTTTTGTTAGGGATCCAAAATGGGCTTTACTCATTAGGTAAAGGTGAAATAAAGATGAAAAAATTTCTTCTCCAGTTCTCGTACTTCTCCTCGCATCATCGACCGGCCATGTTTTTTGGGGTTTGCTTTCAGCTTTTGTGCTTTATTCTAACTTAAAAAGAGAGGGTTGATACTAGGTTTGACATTTTCAAATGAGTTAATCTTTAGAGATAAGGGCCTTCACTGTGATTTTGCTTGGCTTATGTACAGGTAGTGTTGACTTTTTTTATTCACCATTATAAATCAAACGATAATGTATGGATGTACAAGAGTATATTCTCATATTTGTTTTGGAGAATTGGTAAGATTTTTTTTGGGGGAAGGGGAGGGGTAAATGATTGGTCAAACTATTGTCTGCAGCTTGTTATGGAAGCAACTAGATTATGAGCGGGTTCATAACCTTGTATATAAAGGTTGATTTAAATTTTCTTTACAGATTTTTTTTTTCGGGGGAACCCCTAACTAAATGTGCAGACATAAACAAAACTTTCTGGGTCCGCCACTGTGGTAGCTCAATTAACATCAGAGAACTGAACAAGTGGGGATGAGAGCATGTGTTCGATTTTTCTCAGTACTGTCTTTAGGAGATGTTTAAAGCCTTAATTGCGAGACCTGCCCCAAATCGAGCTAGTGACGAAGCGATGAGCCGATTGAAATATCTTAAAAAAAAAAAAAAATTACCAAATTAATTGACTTCAAATTCTTAAATAGTCTTTTTTTTTTTTTTTAAAGTGATCTTGGTTTGCATTTATGGTCATGAATAAGCTTGCGCACCTGTGTGGAGCACTACTCAGGCCCGTGTCAATAGTCCATATTGTTGTCAACGATGGCTTTGGAAATTTTGTCAAGTGTGGAGAATGTCTTTGATCACGGTCTTCATTGCACAGCTTCCTACCGTTCAAGGTGCTCTTTGGAATTTGGATCACGGTTTAGCTTGATCAAAGACCAAACAAATGACTATGGAGTTTGCATTTATTAAGTATTCAAAGTGAAAACTAACTTTCGATTGTTTTTAATTAACAGCAATAGAGAGGATGAGAATACATTGTAATAAATGCACTCACAAATTTACTAGGACGCATGGTATAATGTGGTAGTACGACACTACGACCATTCAACGTGATTTCTATATATTCCTTTCATGGCAGAGGACAAGTGATGATGATGAATACCGAAGGGACCCCTCCTTTCAACAAGAAGTTCGAAGTGGAACTAGCAATTTTGGCTTGTTTCAGATGCAAAATTTCATTTAGTTCTTTTTTTTTTAGAGTAAACACCATTATTAGTCCCTGGCAATATCTACGAAGTCCTTTTTAGTCCCTGGCAGTAAAAAAGGACCAAATTGGTCCCTGAAATTACAAAAAAAGGGCCATGCTAGTTCTTATATCAACTCCCAAATATGTAGAGTGGCCTTTTTCTTGTACTTTCAGGGACCAATTTGGTTCTTTTTTATTGTCAGGGACTGAAAAGGACTTCGTAGATATTGTCAGGGACTAAAAAAGGTATTTACTTTTTTTTTTAAATTTAGTTAGGATATTCGCTCTAGTTGGCTAATGTATTGAACTATTGATCACATGTGAGCATACTGGGGCACGAACAGTGACCAAATGTCACTGTTCCTCAACTTTTTTACTTAAATGCCACGCCAACAGTGTTAATTATCAATATGTCAAGTGGACAACTTCGCTACTCCATGTAGCGAACTTGGTGTCCACTAGAAACGTGACACGTCAGCAAATTGAGTTCGCTACAGTGCCCAGCGAACTTATCCACGTGGCATATTGGAAATTAACACTGTTGGCGTGACATTTAGAAAAAAAAGTTAGAGAACAGTGGCATTTTGGTCACTGTTCCACTGGGGCACGATGGGAATTCATTCAAGGAGAGTGATACAAATCTTTTCTTCTTTTTAATTTCTTATTTGATGTAGTAAGAATGACACTTATATCTATTCTCAGATTTAAACATGGAGTTTGCATTTGTCATTTAACATGGCACAACAAATTTTCCTACCCACGCAATATTTTGTGGAGCTCACACTTTTTGAAAAAAAAAGAAAAAAAAATTACGGTACGCAAAACGAATCTCTATAACATTACACAATCAATTTTTCTATAACATAACTCTTATAAAACCCTTAAACATTTGCGATAAGTATGAAAACTAGAAAGAGTTTGGGTGATTTCATTCTTTCCAGGTGCTAAAGAAAATGTCACAATCAGTGCACATGTGTGCCACAAAGAATGCTTAGTGGAGCAGGACATTCAGGAATTAACATGCTCAACTTGCTATGTGTCTACACTTTCGAGTTTCGACTGCTTTACGATGAATGTGACAATGTTTATTTATGTGGGAGAGGAAAAGGTAAAAGAAGAAGAAAAAATCTCCGTTATAGTAAAAGTGTAATGGCCAAAAAACATAGATATAAATAAGGGGAATACATTTATCATATTACATGAGATAACTCTATCTCATCCATATACAAAAAGTGCATAAAATTCACTTTTTTGCTTTCTCTTTTTCTTTTTAGTGGATTTTATCCATTTTTATGTATACATGAGAAAAAATTATATGATACAACATGAAAAAAAAAAAAAAGTAGAGTGAAGTTGAAGTTGCTAATGTTCTTCTTTTCTTAAGGTCCACGCGCTAAAGACTATAGGACAGGGCTAGAGAGAGCAAATGGGAAAGAAAAAGTTACAAATTGCAAAAGTTCAACAACTTCCACCGCAAAGTTGAAAGCTCAATTTAATTATTTTTTTTCTAACTTGTGGAAAACTCGATCACTTGAAAATAAGCTAGAGGCCAAAATTAACAATACTAATTTTATTTTATTTTGATAACATTAAGGGGCGAAGCCCCACAATACTAATTTTTGAACTTATATTCAGTATGTAATTATGCATCGGAGAATAGAATATTGGAGTTGTTAACAACTGTTCAAATGCAAGAGGTAACCAATATTTAAAAAGTTAAAGTTGTTATCAATCGGTTTAGAATGTTGTGATTGAACACTTAGAAATTAGTCTATCTTTCTGTAAAGAACTTTGAGATACTCCACTTCAAAAGTTAGTTCAAAAAGTGGGATCGAGTGCCCAAGACCTTATAAAGATCACATTAGTTGCTCATACAATCAATGTGGGACTATATATCTCATCATGCCCCCTCACGCAAGAGCCCTTTGGGCTAGAAGTGTGGAATTGCACAAGTCCAATTTTTTTCACTTTAAAGTGGGGGACAGTGAGGATTGAACTTGTGACTTTATAGTCACTCAAGCTCTAATACCATGTAAAGAACCTTGGGATACACCACCCCCAAAAGCTAGCTCGAAGGGTGAGAGTCCAAGGCCTTATAAACTCCATATTAGTTACACATACAATCAATGTGGGACTATATATCTCAACACTTTCATAATTAGGGTCAAAGGTTTATTTAGGGTATGAAAAGTGTTAGTATCTTCCGCCATCCATTTTTAAAAAATAAATAAAATTAAAGCAAATGTTCAAACATAATAAAAAAGATGCATGGTAAGAAGATAAAGGAGAAAACAAAGAGGAGAAAAATTACCTAGCCTTTATTGAGAGGCGCTTTTGTGATCACTCTTAAGTTAGTACAGTAGAAAGAAATTTGAAAAACAAATTCTAAACTTTTTCATTTTGTCAAAGATCTTTACAAATTTTTTTTGACGGAATTCTGGTAAAATTTAGTTGCAAATTGAGACGAAACTTTTCGACGGAAATATATTCAGTTAAAATTTTAGATGGAATTCATTAAACAAGTAGTATTTTATGGTTGTCATTTTTCGACGGAATAATCAAACTTTCAAAAAAAAAATTATTCCATCAAAAAATTTGTAACAAAAAGAAATTCAACAGCCTAAATTCCGTCGATAATTCTGCTGAAAACTTTATTTTTGATGGAATTTTTTCCTGCAAAAAATATATTTTTCTAGTAGTGGACATGGAAGGACCAATAGTGATTTTCTATAAGGTGATTTTTTGTCTTCTAAATATGCTTCTATTTATAGGGTGGCCTTATAATAATAAGTATTTAAACAAGAGTTCTCCATTATTATTTTGTTTTTCTAACTTTATGACGCCTTCCCATTAAATCGCCTAATCTTTCTTTAAAATTTCCATTTAAATTAGTTCCTTTCTCTTCAAATTTTATCATATTTTTATCTTCCTTCAATTTTTTTTTAAAATTTAAAATTTCTTTCCTCATATTTTTGGTAGAATTATTATCGTCGTGGTGGTCACTATTATTATTATTTGAACTATTAGATTTAAAGTGGATAACGAGCATTAATCAATAATGTCACACAAAGTCCATTATGAATTGATAGACAATTTTAAGTATGAACCCGATAATTATATAATAAGTTATTCTTCATGATTTGAAAAGTTGCAATTAACTTTGCAACATAAGACTTTGATTGTGTAGTACTCTTCTTTTCTTACATGGTGTGTTCAACGAGCTGAACGGCTCACCACCAACCTTGCCCCACCTTGTGGCTTATTAGCTCTCGCGCACGCATGCAGACACAGGCATGTATAGAATTTCCTGCAAATAGACACTAATTAGTTATAGAAAAAAAGGGTCTTTGTGAATAAATGGCATAGTAATTAGGTGGTAGTTAAGACTTAAGAGGGTAGAAAGATAGCATTGTCTCAGTGGTGGCAGCAACCCCAATAACTCTTAACGCCAAAATACCGTTCGTCCGTTCCCAACTGTGCCCAAGCCTGGGCCACTTGTCACAACCACAAGACATCGAGACAACAAGTAACTTTAGTGTGCATGGACCATTGTCACTAACAGCTCCGTATGAACATGGATGTACACAACTTAATTATATACATACGGGGCTTGGTATTTTTTACATTACTATTAATTTATTATAATATTTTATTTGAGGTGAATTAAGTGCACAATTAATACGCAGGATGAAGAATTCGACATGCAATTAATGCGTACACATAATTATTAAGAGAATCTGGTAACTATAATGTGGACCATGTTATTGTTGTCTAGGTCAGTATAGACATATGCGCGAGCACACGAGAGAATGAGATTAGCAGTTCAGTTTCGTTATGGTCTATGGAATGTGTCAATGATAGTAACTAGGTACAAAGTTTAGCGCATCTTTAATTATTTCAAATTAGCATATGAAAAATTTACATGACCAGTAAACCAAATATTTGTCCAAGCTCCAAAAGAGAGTATATCTTTATTTTTTTTATTGCTTTGTCGTCTTAGGCTGCTATCAAAACAAAAGAGGATCGATGGGTGATGCGTTAATGTCTAACCTACCCTATTTGTTTTGCATGTATTAGCAATTACTGAGTCTTTAAACATGCTAATTAATTAGACTTTTTGGGCTTTTTGGATTGGAATTACTATGACTCGAGTCCAAGAAAGCAGGAGGGTGAATAGGACATGTTGCTCTGAGCTTTATTTTTTCTCACTATAATAAAAGTCGCATTACTTTTTTTTTTTTTTTTTTATATCCCCACAAACTTCGACTCTTTGATCTAGCTATGAGATTAATTCGAAGTGCGGGATGGATCAGGAATGAAGATATTTAAACCCCTCTCAAAAGTGACATGTGGGAATCGAACCAATATCATTTCCATTTTATGTACTCAGTTTCCTTGCTACCAACTGCACTACCACCATTTGATTAAAAAAGTAACATTACTATGCCTATGCAAGTTAGGCATAACACAAGGATTTTTCCCCAGAAAATACAAAAATGGCTTCCAAATGTATGAAGAACTTACTTGCGATGATTATTATTGTTTTTTTTCAATTACTAGCTAGATTAAGCTTTAAAGAAGTAAAAGGAAAACAATTAAAAAAATAAAGAAAGGAAATGAAAAAGCAGAGAACATGTGTTTAGAAAACGGTTTTTGACTTTTTTTCAAACTTTGGAAGAGTTTTCATACAATCAGCCAAGGAGGCATCACAATCCAACACCTAACGGAGAAGTGGGAAAAGACCACATCGCACACAGCCACGTTAGTTAACGAATTTCAACAGTGACATCGTTTTTCTTAGTGGTTACGCTCTTGCTACCTCATCCTTTCCTATATAAAACCCTTGGTTTTGGCTTCCAAAGCAACCTCATACCCTTATTCTCCCTTTCTGTCCCTAAAATACACAAAGAAGCAGCCAAACACAAAACAACAAAGTCATGGTAAATAGTCCAAGAAACATGAAGATAGGTGACACAAACACCCCAACTTCCTCTCCTCCATTTTCTCACTCTTGTACTTCATCATCTTCCCCTCCACAATCTCTATCTCCCCAAGTTGTTATGAGCCCTTGCGCTGCTTGCAAGATCTTGAGGCGAAGATGTGCAGAGAAATGTGTGTTGGCGCCTTATTTCCCTCCCACTGAACCTGCCAAGTTTACAACTGCACACAGAGTCTTCGGAGCCAGCAACATCATCAAGTTCTTACAGGTAGTTACATGACAAGGCTAGCTAAAAAATCTTAGTTCACTACATAATTTTTCTACATCAATAGCATGTAAATTATTTTTTGACACAATATTGGTTTGGGAGTTTCTTTTTGGATATTATTTTTTTTCTATCAATTATTCGATTAGTCCAATTCGAGTCAGGAAAGATCATATGAGCGGCAAAGCTCTTCCAACCAAATTTTGACACAACTATATTACTAAGAATTCAAACTTAAGAACATGTTAAACTTGAATAATCCCTTATCAATTGATCCACGTGCTTAATGGTTGTTTCCGGAGTTTCTCATTTTTCTTTGCTCAATCAACCAACCTTTTCCTAGCTGGACCTAATTTTAACGAATATCTTTTGGTGGGCCTATTGAGAAATCGATTTAATATTTCAAAGACTAAAAGTTGACAGGTGCGTATATTTTGTCAAACAAGTTTTCAAAAATTTTAATTTCATTAATCAAGTAATTAAATGCTTTAATCCATGTGAATATTCTAGCTTCTTATCCATATTATTAATTTACATTCCTTTTGTAGTTTTATACACCTTAAATATATATATTATGACCAATTAAAATACGTTAAATTAATGCTTATGTACTTAATTGATCAACTGATTCTTTTCCTTGATTTTCCAGGAACTTCCAGAGTCTCAACGAGCTGATGCAGTGACCAGCATGGTTTACGAGGCTAGTGCAAGAGTAAGAGACCCTGTATACGGTTGTGCAGGTGCAATTTGCCAGCTCCAGAAGCAAGTTAACGAGCTTCAAGCACAATTAGCAAAAGCACAAGGTGAGCTTGTAACAATGCAATTTCAACAAGCCAATCTCGTGGCTCTAATTTGCATGAAAATGTCAGAAACTCCACAGGAATCACAACAACAATCAGTGGACAACTTCATTTCAAGTCCTCCTCACAGCGGCGGCTATCTAAACAATATGAACTTCTTTGAGGAGAACACCAACCTTAACTCATTGTGGGAGCCGCTTTGGACATGAAAAATAAAAACTATTTATTGCATGAAGACATTTGAAAAGTGTTCCTATATGACATTCTCCTAAGGAGAATTAAGATGATCAAGGAATCAATTAGAACTAATAAATTATAAAAAGTGGCTTGGTCTAGTACCTACGACTTAGGTAGTTAGGTTAATTCCCTTTATGAGGAAGATTTTGGAGAAAATAATATTTTGGATCTAGTCTCTTTGCACAAGCAAGGCAAAGTAAATGGGTCTAAAATCATCTTTTAAAACATTAGAAGGTTTTGTAATCGGTGCAATATTTAAGAGAAAGGAGCAATGTTATGTTTTATATAGCTAGTGTTTGTGTGAGCTGATATTTTGAATGTAACACCTTTTCGGTCACCTACTATATAATCATTCAAAAAATTGATCTCTCATGAATGCTTAATTCCTTGTCAAAGTAGCTTTTGACTTTGTGGCTTTGGATTCGTTATAGTTCTATCACTACCCAATTTTCCAATTGTAGATTAAGCGTCAATTAAAAGACAAATTAATCTAGGCAACATCAAGATGGAAGACTGAACAACAACCAAGTATAGCTGACTAGGCGTCAAGATAAATGAATTATAATACATAAAACTATAAAAGTGAATTATTATGTTATATTCAGAGCGATTTGTAGCTATGATCAATCATGCACGTGCCTGTGTGTAACTGTAATCAAAACACCTTTTGTGGTTATGATGGCATGTGTCTCTCTCCCTTAAGCGCGTTTTTGGGGGGACTATGATTCAAATCATGTGCTGCTCACGTGAGTTTATCTCTAAAGCATCTCAACCATACAACGTCAATTGTCGGCAACCCTTTGATGTCCGTCTTTCTCGTCTTCATGGTCAAAAACTCATGATCTCTCACCCAACATGACATTATTTTTTCTGTGTGAAGGGAAACATATATTTGTTTATTATTGACTCAGACTCGAAGTGTAGCTTTGCATAGGGTATATGATCACATTATAATCGGGACTACTTATTCAGTACAATCCGTAGTCAACTTAGATTAGTTATCAGAAAAATTGCTATTTTTTGAAAGGCCATTTCTTTATAAACATAAGAGTATAAAGAAAATATATACTATATAGACATCGAAATTCCCAAAAGGATGATATATATCAACTGTATGTATGGAATTGGAAGGCATATATATAGGATTCTTTAATTTGAAGAAAAAAATAATTACGTTTTATGCACGGCTTTTGGTTGAAAAATAAAATTATGTTTTTTCAATTTCTTTGGCGCTAAATTACTTTTTACTATTAATTAATAATTGGTTTATGTCCTTTAAAAAGATAAACCAAAAAAATCAAAATAAATAAAAATTCTTCTTTGACTTTGTTTGCTTTTGCCATTCTTTTCATATGCAATTTGTTGATATTCTCTTACACAGTAGCTCCTCAAAATCTTTCTTGAGTCAAACCTTTTCTTTCTTTGGTTTAATTAACCCCTCAAAGTCATTGTATATAAATTCAACATAGTAAGCTCTAATTAACATCTCCATGCATGTTCCAATATAAAATTTCAATTAAATTCTAATGAAAATAAATAAATAAATAAATATATATATATAGGGATTTACATTTCTGTAGCTGTTGTACGTGCAATAATCAAATATTTGCCATATATATACTTGAAAGCATTAAATGCAGGGAATCATAACCATACAAAGAATGAAAGCATTAAATGTGGGGAATCATAACCATACAGCTGTCATTGTTGTATGTAAAACGGATGCAGAAATGATTTTACCATATATATAGGGTTTTGATTTTCTCATGCGGTAGGAGAAAATTTTCTCATGTTATAGACACATCTTATGTTGGGCCCACATCTATTAAAAAAATAAAAAGGTAAAAAAAAGTATTGCACGAAAATCGAAGGGTCACTAGTAGGAGAAAACAACTCTCCTACGACATGAGAAAATGTTTTCCCTATATATATAGGGAAATCATTGTCTCATTTTACATGAGATAACCAAGGAAGCACGGACACTTGTAAAAACAGGAAGAGTCGGGTCCGACACGCTCCGACACGGCGACACGCTCCGACACGCTCCGACACGGTGTCGGACACGCGGTTGACTTTTTTCGACACGTTGACCATTCCGACACGCGAATTTGACCGTGTCCGACACGGTCAAATGGCATTTTCGTAATTTTTTTTAATTTTTTTTTTTTAATTTTTTTTAAAAAAAATTATTTTTTTAAAAAGTTAAAATATATTAATAAAGCTTCCACCTGATCATATCAATTTTATCTTTTGTCTTTTTTCCCCTTAAGTAGATAAGATATCATCTCAGCATCATTGTTGTAAATTCCTATCACGCTCTTGTTGTATCTTCTTCTCTCTAATATGATTTGATCTCTCTATCTGATATTATATATATATCTCATCCCAGTTCTTATTTTTTTATTAAAGCTTCCATCTTTATAACATGTTAATGGGTATTATTAATTTTGTTTCATTTTTTTGTTAAATTATTAAATATTAAATGAAATATACACTATATAAATTAAAATTATTATTTAATATTAAAACGTGTCCCAACGTGTCGAAATCCATAATTTTTTAAGATTGACGTGTCGAAGTGTCGTGTCGTGTCGTGTCACGTGTCGCGTGTCGTATCGGTGCTACATAGGAGATAACTATCTCATGTTTCTATCTCATTGTCTCATTTTATTTGAGCGCCCATATATATATATATATATATATATATATATATATATATATATATATATATATATATATATAAAGGTTTTAATGTTTCTAAAGTGAATGTAGATAAGTTATCTACCTTCGCTCCCAAAACGACGTAGTCTTGGGTTGAAAGATTAAAAAATTATAATGAAAAAGACTATAATAACAGAAATACATTGATTTCTGCCTTAAAACGACGTCGTTTCGGGCTCACTGTAGATAAGTTATCTACATTCACTTTAGAAACAGCGAACCCATATATAAACTCCTTTCTTGATCAATATTTCATGTTTTTGTTAATTATGCTCGAAAATTTAATCTATGGAAGAAAAATAAAAGAAATTATTCATGTTCAATTTGCTAGAGTTTGTTATGTTTACTTGTGCAAAGGTTCATTAATGAATCAACTAAGCGCCCTCTCCATCAAGTCCCGAGTCCCTCCCCTTCGTGACCTCGTGTGCCATCGTTTCTAATTAGTTAACTCATGTTGGTCGTGTCTTCGAGATTTTGATAGCTAATTAATATTGCTTCTTTAATTTTCAACTACTGGACATGATTCAGTTGCCATATTCCAAAAAATGAGGGCCACCATTGTACCAAAAAGTATAAAGAAAGCTAGCCACTTACTCAGCACTGGCTATGCATGCAAACAGCAACGTACAGATAATAGGGCCACCAAAAGAGGTCAATGGTACTATATATTTTCCAGCATAATTAATTAATTTAATTAGCTCTATAAATATTACAGAAAGCTCTAGTAAAATGAATGATTTATGAGTTTTATAAGAGTTATGTTGTAGGAAAAGTGATTCTGTTATGTTATAGAGATTCGTTTTGCGTGCCGAAGTTTTTTTTTTATTTTTACTGCGGGTCCCACAAAATGTTGTGTGTGTAAAAAACTTTTTATGGTCATGTTAAATGATAGATGATAAACCCATGATTTATATTACAAAACAATTTCGAGCAAGTAGCCAAGTACTATATGGTGGGTTTAGATCAATCCACATCATTAGTGGCATTAGGTTGAGCTGTGTCTGAAAGACCATATACCTATCCATAAAAGAAACCCAAAGTTTGAAACCAAACTAGACGACGAAACTATAATTATTTCGTTCACACACGTACGAATCACTATCGATAAAAGATCAAAATTGGTATCCTTTCTACATTGCTGTAGGGAGGACATCAAAGAATCTAATCTGTACCAAAACGCGATCTTAATGATATTCATACACGACTTGGTGGTTGGAAGTGGGAACAAACTTCTGAATTTTTCTTGACGAAAGGTAATCACACTATGTCCATTAATTATTTATTTATATGTGGATAGACCACCAACACAATCCTTTTTCTCTTTTAATTTCTTTTCCTCTTTTCCCGTGGCATGCATCTACCCTTTTTTTTTTTTGTCATCCATTTTCGTGCAAATTGTCCAATGCCTTTAGTTTCGGACGCAGATTTATTAATGGAAAATACATCTATTATGTAACATGATGTAAGTTTCTTTTCCTACCCAAACAAATAGACGTGGGGTCCACAATTTTTTATTTTCTCTTTCCTCAACTCATTTTCTCTCTCTTCTTTTATGTTTGTGTAGGATCAAATAGTATTTTTTATGTAACATTATATAAGTATAACCCTTTATTAATCTACAAACCCACTTTTTTGCATTAATGGATGCGCAGTCTTTTGACATATCCTTTTTCATACTTTGGTCGATGATATATAAACTATAAAGTGAAACCCACGTCTCCATAACGTTGACTCACTGCCACTAGCTAGTCGTGCACTATGTGCATTATTTGTATACACATTCAAAAGACTGAATGCTTTCCCCATATATAAATCCGAACGTTGTTTTTGGGTATTTTCGACCTGCATTCTATACTATGGGCCTATTGTCTTGTCTTGTGGGATATTGGGTGAGGGAATTTATTAATTATTTGTCAGGACTCCGAAGTCAGGAGTAACATTAATTTGTTCTGGTGGGAAATCAATTGTCCATCTTTTGAATTTTGAATATTTACTTGGTTTCTGTTTTATTAAATGGGAAATGAATGAACTCAACACGTACAAAAAAATTAAACAAAATTTATCATTAGATTTTATTTTTTTTTGAGATATTTCAATCGGTTCATCGCTTCGCGATTAATCCAATTCAGGATGGGTCCTGAGATTAAGACTTTAAACCCGTCTCATATATATTTTAACCAGCCCTTTTTGTTAATTTTGTATATGAATTAATAATTGACTTGAAGAGGCAAACTAATTGTCTTTTTCGGAATCACACTCAATTTTTCAACTATAAGGTATTAATTTACATGTACATGTTTTTACATAATACTATTATATATATATATAAATATATGGGGTTTACATTTCTCCAGCTGCTGTACGTACAACAATCAAATACTTGTCATATATATACTTGAAAGCATTAAATGCAGAAAATCATAACCATACAAAGGATGAAAGCATCAAATACGTAAAGCGACTGCAGAAATAATTTTACATATATATATATATATATATATATATATTATCTTGTACTTACACCTTTTAAATAAAAAATAAGTATATGTTGAGAATGGTAGGGGAGAATCCAAAACCCTTTGCAAGAGACATCTCTATCAATGGGTCAATC